TTCACCCCCCGCCCCCTGAACTGCCCCCAGGTTCACTTGCCCTCTCCCCTTGGACCCCGAGAGAAAACGCCGTCCGCCTTTCCGAGGTGAACCTCCCCATCCAGCTTCCGCGCGCCCGCCCGCCCCTCCAGCGCGCGCACCGATGCCCTGCGCCCCCAGAACGCTCAGGGGAACCCAGGAGGAATCCCCAACTTTTCCCCACTTGGCTGGGCGCCTCAGCCCTTCCTGGACTCCGGTGGAAAGAGAGATGCGTGGATCTCGCGGTCGGGTTGCGCTTCTGGGGTAAAAGGGGATGGCAGCAAACTCGCTTTGCCGGTTGCTTTTCGGGGCGCCCGTAGTTTTATCTGGGGATCTTATCTGGGGAGCTCATATGTGAACCTCTTAGGCAGGGCTGTTCTGCTGGGAGGGATCCCGGGCTGCCTCCTGGGCGAGGACTGCAGGCGGAGGGGAGAGGGGAGTTGGAAATGCTAAAGCGCTGGCGGCGGCTGCGAGGTAAATGCACAGCCGCCTGCGTAGCCCTGAGCTGCCGCCTGCTGGCCCCAGCCCATCCCAGAGCGCAGACCGTCATTCGTGGTCACGGGGCCGAAATGCTTTTTCCCACTGATCCGTGGAAGGCCCGGGAGGAATAAGAGCCCACATCCTCCCTCGGTTCAAACACCAGCTTAGCTACTCCTAGGTGCGTAGGGGAGATGAAGGCACTGCACCTCTCTGCGTCTCCGTGTCTTTATCTGTAAAAGAGGGATGATGACATAATAGTACCCGCCTCAGTGCTGTTTTGAGGCTTCAGTGAGTTAAGACACAAAGCACTTTGAAAGTTCCTGGCTGACAGTAAGTAAGCATTTCATGAGTGTGGGCTATGCTAGCAACTAGAAAGCTAATCTTCGTTGTATAGTGCTAAACATGGTTACTGTGTTATCGCATTTAAGCATCACAAGAGTTCTGTGCTGTGGTTCTGATTGCTTTGCCTTCATTTTATATTGGTCAGACAATCGAGACTCACAGAAGAAGTTACTTCTTCCTTAAGGGCCCAGCTGGCCTGAAGAGCCATACTTCTGCAGGTCGATTTCAACTGCAGCCTGGCTACTCGTGCAGCCAAGGGTCGGCAGTGTGGGCAACTCCTGGGAGCCTCTTAGAGGGCAGATGCCCAGGCCCACCCCTGAGGTCCTGAACTAAAGGCTGCATTTTGTAAGATCTCCAGGAGATGTGTTCGTTTGCGCATTAAAGTTTGAGAGCCACAGGGTGCCACCACTTTTTCTTTTTTCATCTTTAGACCCAAAATGAAGAATTGAAAGCTCTGGGCAGTGTTTCTCAACTTGGGTTGCACATTAAAAACCACGTGTGTGGGGCGGGGGGGGAGGGGGCAAATCTTAACATCCCCAATGTCTCGGCCAGAGCCCAAGTGCTTTAGGGAGGGCCTCTGGGAATGGAGCCTGGCCTGGGCATGTGGGAACTCCCCGGGGGATCTCAGCAGGCAGCCAAGTTTAAGCAGCCCTAGTGGGGTCAGAACCGTGGGCGGCAGAAACCGCACCAGGTGTGAGACCAGTGGAGTCAGACTGGACCTTGGTTTGGTAGCCTCAGTACTAACAGAATTCAGAGTCAGAACTCAAACTGTAAGAAGAGAAAGTTTATTTAGAAAGTCACAGAGGTAGCCATGAGCGGTAGGAAACATGGGCCCAGGAAACAAGTTACAGAGGCAAAGGAACGACCCTTGGAGCTTAGGAGAGAGAGAGAGAGAGAGAAAGAGAGAGAGAGAGAATGAAAAAGAGGAAGGAAGGAAGGAAGGAAGGAAGGAAGGAAGGAAGGAAGGAAGGAAGGAAGGAAAGAGGCAAGGCAAGGATAAAGAATCCAGAACCAAGCACTGGGGCTCTGTCCTCAGGGCTTTGAAGGGCAGAGATTTAGGTGAGGTCCCAGGGGAGGATCTCAATAGAATATTCATCACCTTCTAGGTGTGTCCTTTCAGGGTCGTGGACTCTACTGATTGGTAGGTGCTACGGCATCGTTAGTCTGGTTTTGCTGCTTTTCTGGGCCTAGGTGATATCCCTAGGGGTTAATGCTTAAGGCAGTGGTTGTGCAAGGGCCCTTATGGGGAGTCACAAGAGGCCACTCTTGGGCCCCTGTTCCTACTCTAAGGTGGTCTACTGAGTGACTACCGACATGTCTGGGAAGAGTCCGAACCACATGACCAGCCATATGAAAGGTCAGGAGTGACCAGTGATAGGCTCGGGGAGGAAAGGTTACCCTGGGGGCAAGGTCCTTGTTTTCCCAGTTTTGCCTGTTGCTAGGCACCTGGGGCTTTCTACCCTGGTGACCTCTACAAGTACCTGGCCGCTGTCCTAGCTCTGCTCATGCCTGTCTAATTGCCTGCCACAGGCTCACAGGCAGGGGAACACTGCTTAGAGTCATCCTCTTTCATCTAGAAATGATGGCTTATCATGAACTAAGAGGAAATGATTGAAGAGGAAACTTATACCCATCTGAAAATGACTACACTAACTTAGCATTCCCTCTCACATTCCAAACGGGTTTCCCGTCATTCCACGGAGCACAGAACCTCAGAACCTCCATTCTCTCGGAAGGACTCATTCCCTCTCACATTCCAAACGGGTTTCCCGTCATTCCACGGAGCACAGAACCTCCATTCTCTCGGAAGGACCGCTCACTGCTTCCTTTCCCCAGGCCATCGCAGTCCTCTCCCCAAAGTCTTCAGAATCTATTCTTAACTTCAGACATGGAAACGGAGGTTGTATTATCAAAGTCCCACAGCGAATCAGGTTCAGAACAAGCAACAATAAGACACATTTCCCGAATTCCCTTCCAGAAGCCTCTTCTGGGCAGGGCTTTAGTTTGATGACAGATCTCCAAGGGTCTAACCCGGGATCCAAGCCGTATTTGGGGTTGTCTTTCCTGATGGAGTGGGTGGGTTCTTTCCTGAGCTCTGGAATCAGTCCACTCACGATTAGAAGCTCTGTTCTGGCATTAATTAGCTTTGGGATCTTGGGCACTTACCCTCTCTGTCCTTCAGTTTCTGAATCTGTAACACGAGGATAAAAATACCGGCCTCCTAGGGTTGTTGTAAGAATAAAACTAGATAATGTGTGTTGATTTCTTCAGTAATATTCTGGCAGCCACCAGCATGGTGCTGTCTCTTGGCTTATTCCCACCAGGGATACAGCAGCCACATAACTATTGGATAGATATCACGTAGAACTATCCTATATTCATTTATTGAAAAAATGTTTATTGAGAAGCTTACTGCGTGGTCTATTTATTTATCACTATGTTCTCTCTCTAGGTATCTATAGGTACACCTTGCCAGGGAAGGAGAAATACATTTTAGGGGTTGCTTCCTAAAAAGGGACCCTGATTCCTGCTTCTATCCCAACTTTAGTCCCCAAGGGGAATTTGAGGAAACCTTTGGCATTGAACTCAGCTTTTGTGGCTCTCTGCCGAGTAGTAGCAAAGTCTGCCCCCTAGAGGCTAACAACACTCCTGGCAGTAAGAGCAGAACTTGGAAGTCAAAATGTTAACCTTATGGGTAGTTTATCACCACCTGCACAGGGGCAGTAGATGTGAGAGGCATGTAGTTTACTGAATGCATGGGAAGGCTAAATTGCTAATGAATGAATCAGGTTGACACCCTGGATTATTCCCCCTTAAAAAATACTGACACTTGGAATTTGTAAAAATGTCCTTGCAGATCTTATATGTGATTTATATGTGTAATGCTTCATACTCACCAATATTGTCTTTGCCTTATCTCCCACATTTCCCATCTATTTCCAGCTCCTATTGGGTATATCTTTGTATACCATGGAGTATTTACTGAGATAAGCTACACACCACATGCTCTCAGTCCCTGTTGGTAAAACTGAACTGAGTTATACATCACCGTGAAATTTCAGATAACTTGGACAAAGAGGAGATCCAACAGGTTTTCCAAGAAGAAAGGTTTCATAAAACATTTTTGCACAAAACAGGTGCAGAATGTCATTAAAGTTATCGTCAAGCCTGGAAATCTGAAGTCAGGGGAACGATGCTTTCTGAATTGAAAATGACTTCCTGCCTGGAATTTTATACCCAAAGTACCAACAGAGAAAAAAATATATGAGAAGAGAATCAAACATTTTCAAGCATGACATGCAAAGTTTTTTTTTTTAAAAAAGATACTGCCTTCTCCTCTCTCAGGAAGCTGCTAAAGGATGTGCTCCACCAAACAAGGGGGTGGAAACCTAGAGAGTTAGATGTAGGATCGAGGAAACAGGGATTCCAACACAAGAGGCCATGGATGGGAAGTACTGAGATCCCGACAAAGGAAAATTCCAGGCAGGCAGCTATGTGCCAGGTGTAGAAAGCAGCCTGTTCAGATTGAAGCTGGCCAAAGGGCTCCGGGAAAAATTTATTCAAGAAGATGACACTAATAGAATTTGCAAGGATATTTACAGAACTGGGGAAGAATTAGTGGTTGGAATAGTGATAAGTATAACCAATCTAACCGAGTAAATGGGGAGGGCAAATTATTAACTCCAGTAGAATATTCAAAGCATCAGAGGAAAGGGATAGGGGGATCATGGTTATCTTAAGTGACTCGGTTGTGACTAGCATCATCACAATCATAATAATGTGAAGGCCGAAAGTTGATATAACCAAATATGACATAATTATATGGGGAGGATGGAGGGATAGGAAGTGGGCACATGTGTACAGTAGAGATGAGGGTAGAGTAAATATAGCTAAATCTTCATCTGCTGTATTGGAAAGTCAAAGGCAATGCCTCATAGGGACAAAGAACTATCAATATACCCATATTATTTAAAGCTATGGAGAGAAATTAGACTCATCTAATAAGAGTTGAAAGTAATTGCCTCAAGGAAACAGGAAAGGGACTAAGC